CGGAATACGAGGAACCGTGTCTACCAACTCGATGCTGCACGCCGGGTCTTCTGAAGTGTTAACAGTGTCCATGAACTCAATGCGACATCGCTACTACCACGAAGATCCATTTGTAACGTATCCGTTTGGCCAATCCTCTACCCGTGTGATTACTTGATCGTGCGCGTGAAGGACGGGCGACAACTGAAGGTATTTGACCAAACTGCTTGAAAACCACCCCTCGAATGAAGTACACCGGATCCGTCCCAAAATGAGACAGTTCTCATTCGCTACGACATCGTGAGGATATTCCAGACCCTCCAATAAAGACGACTGAGGTAGCTTAAACACATTCTTGCTCGTCTCATTCACAAGCTTCTCTCGCTTGGCTCGATCGAGCGCCGGTGTCAATTTGAAAGCCTCGAAGATGAGGTTAACTTAAAATCTGCCTAGACACAAATGTTCAAAACACGCATAAGTGGTTATTAGACCCTTACTATTCGACTTGCATCGTTTGAGAAACGAATAGCTCCAGCTGTCCAGATGCGCTGCCGCAGATAATCAGGCGTGAAGAGGTACAATCTCTGCCATGACCGACGCCGACTAGATCAGACATCACAGCTTTTACAAGCACTGCTAGGTAATAATTAAGCAGAAGATTTGCAGTATACAGTAGTTCCCTTTGCAAATTGCAGGGGACAATAATGCCGTTCGGGTAGGGGAACCTACCCAACCAAACCAGTGCTGCAATGTTGCGCGTGTGGCACGCAAAGTTGCCTTCATAAAAAGGGAAAACAAATTTTCTACACTTATAGGGGTCTATTTGCCATAATTCAGTGGTCTAGCGTATACACGTCGAGCGGTTAGGCTAGGTGCACGATCAGGCCGCAAACCAGGAAGAGAATTTTGCATTACTGGAGCACTGAACACCAGTACCCTCCCAAACCCTTAAGGAGACGATATAACTTAAAATTCCGAGGGGAAAATTGAGCATTTAAAAAGCAAATGAGAAAAATATGAAGCCAATTTAACAGGTAATCATTTTTAAAACCACATTTTGTATGTTCAAAAGCCATCTGAGCATGAAACGCGTCTCATGTACACGCACAGAAAAGGGGGTTGGCGGGAGGTAGCGGGTTAAAAAGCTTGAGGACATCTAAACTGGGTCAAATCTGTACAAGCTATCACTTGGTTTTATCAGTGAGAAAAAAGTAAGATACCGTAAGAATGCCCACCAGCATTGTCATCAAAATAAAAGCGAAAAAAACCAAATAAAATGTCAGATACGTAAGCCATTTGCCTACAGGAGATAATAACTTGAAAGGCATTTGATTCG